CCCCAAAACCCCAAAACCCCAAAACCCCATAAGGTTCAATTCTAGATGGATTGAATGAAATCAAGAAAGAGTCTTAGAAAATAAAATAATGAGTTTATCCTCATCAAGTCTAATTGATTCGATTAATTTGCTTACTCTCAAAAGTTTTCGAAATTTTCCCCTTTCCAAATTTCATCAAGATTGCTAATCAATTTATCCTCTACTATTTCGATTGGTTATCCTTTAGATTTCCCCTTTTAGCCGCTAGATCCGTCCTAGAACGCTGAATGCTCTTGAAAACTATTCAATAACTCACTCATTTCTAAATTACTTGCTTCTTCTTTCATTGCTCCCTTAGCTTGTACTAAACTTTTTGCTAGATTTTCCTTAAATCTCTACAGTCCCATAATTTTTTCCTCAATTGTATCTTTCACTATTAATCTATAGACACAGACTTGCTTGGTCTAGCCGATTCTATGAGCTCTATCAATAGCCTAAAGATCTTTCATTGGATTCCAATCATGCTCTGCAAAGATGACTGTATCTGCTCCAGTAAGGTTTAGCCCTAAACCACCGACTTATGTTGTAAGAATGAGAACACTTATTGATGGATCTTGATTAAACTAATTGCACATTTCTACTCTTTGTTTAGGCGTATGGCTGGATAACAGCTCTAGATAGCTAACATTGAATCTTTTTAGTATTGAATCGACTATCACTTTCAAGTATGATGTCATTTAGCAGAATATTAATACTCGATGCCTATTATTTTAATCCTGAATTCTCTTCTCCTCTAGAGATAAAGATGTGCTTGCTAAATCAAAAAGCATTGATCCATTAGTGCCAGATTCAAAGTCTACGCCTTGATGAGAACTTTTAGACTCCTCCCTCGTTTAAGTTTCAGTTTTCTTTTCTTGAATGATTTCACATTCAACCAGTTTATCATAGAGACCAATTAACTTCCCAGAATTCTCATATGAAAGCAATTCTTACTCTGTTTTCTTTCCAAGATGCTTCATTATATTTTTATCCTAGCTGAATTCCTTAGCTACAAACATTGGATGATTGCAGACCTTACGATGCAAAATTAGATTTTGTAGAATTTATTTTCCTAATTGCTAACTTGGTTTGCCCTTTTACGATTCAACTTATTGCAACTGCTAAGTTATTGGATGATTCTTCTCAATTAAAGAGTGGGTGTACTCCTGGAAATTAGTCATTTAGCATATTACATCTTGAATAATTTTTGGTGGTAACTCTTTTAACACCTAATCTTTGGTCCTTCTTAGAATAAATGGTTGAATTCTCTTTTTAAGAGATTTCAGTGCATCTAGAAATGCTTGAGTCTCTTCTAAATTTTCACTCAGCTTTTTAATATTTGATGTCAGGTATTGATTGTATTTTTTGTTAAAAACTTATTCTTATTCTAAGAAGCCGGGCATCAGGAAGTCGAAAATTGACCAGAGCTCACTTACTCTGTTTTACAGAGGTGTGCCTGTTAAAGCTAGCTTCTTATCAGCTTTGATTGATTTCACTGCTATTGTAATCTTAGCTTTGGAATTCTTAATTATATGAGCTTCATCAAGAATTAGATAGAAGAAATCTTTTTCTTGAAATTACTTAATCTCATTTCTTAGTTTTTCATAGCTAATAATAACTATGTCATATGTCTAAATCTATTGAATTATCTTCTACTTAACTTGTGGCGAGCCTTCAAATACAACAGCTTTCACTCCATCAAAGAATTTTTAGACTTCAGCAAACCAATTGTGGGTTATAGTAGTCGGGCACACAATTAGGTTGACTGGCTTTTTACCCAGCTTTTTGAGTTTCTAACTTTCATTCATCACCACTGTTAAAGATTAGAGTGTTTTTCCTAATCCCATATCATCGCATAGAGCACAATTCAGATTATAACGGCCAAGAGTTGCCATCCAATTTATTCCTTACTTTTGATAATCTCTAAGTTGAGCTTTTACTTTAATATCGATTTGATATTATGTGACCATTTGATTATTTACAAAAGTCTAGAGGAACCGGTAACCCTCTGAAGCTTGATTTTATAGTTGTTCTAGAAATGGGTCTTTCTGCTAAATAATTTAATCGCCTTAGTTATTTTGATTCATGCTTTGAGATAATTCTGAAATCTGCACCAAATTCAAAGGTAACAGTGATAGTAAACTCGCAAGTATAAGAGTGATCTGTTTATCATCATTAAATATCCTTCCAGAGTATTGAATATTTTAGATGACTGGGATAATAAAAACTGGAATGAATTTCATTAGATCATTATTCTTGGTTTCTATTAAATCTATCAATGCCTGAAAAGCTATCTTCTATTTCTATTCCATTCTAGCCACTAAGTTACTTATCAGTCTAATTTAAATTTCTGGGAATATCTCGAATGCTATTTTTATTAGATTCGGCATAAACTTTTCAAATGTAATCAATGATTAGTTATTCTATTGTTAAGGAATAGTATTTGACCAGACACCAGAAATGGTGGTAATCTATTCTGAGATTATCATTGATTGCTAGCAATAATTCAACAAATTTTTCTTTGAAGACTTTAGCTCTTACAATAAGAAAAATGTAAATTTAACCCATTTATCTGAGTTTTCAACAGTCAATTACTGGACTAGATAGTTGCTCATATATCCATTATATGCTGTGAATATGTTATCAACAGTTTTAATGAGTTGGCAAATTACAAACTTCGTCCCTCTATCCTGAATTTCATCGTCCTTATATTGCTCTAGACTCTTGGTAAGAACTAGCAATATCTATTAAGCTGGCTTGGATTTATTCTTCTAAAATAACAAGTTTATAAGTTTAACCATGTAGATAGAGCAAATCTCCTAAATAAACTCAATAGTCTCTGACTTAGATTGACTTAAAATTGGTTTGATAAGGTTATTGAGTTGAGAAGTAAGACCTGTAGGTAGCTCATTTAACTCTACTAATTAGATGTGAATAATAGCTGAGAGTGATTTAACTCTGCTAGAAATTTAACTAGCATATCTGATTAATGACGTGAAAAGCATCATAAGCTCGCTGAAGCATTCATATATTTCAGGAATCTAAATAGTTCCAAAAACCTATGTCATAAATTCCAAATGCTATTATATTCCATGGATATTTACCAATCTAAGATCCTAATAGCATTAATTCAAAAGCAAATTTAACTGTTAAATCATAACTAATGGCTACTCAAGTTAATTTTTCTGAGTCAAATTGAATAATATTTACAAACTCTATTGTAATCTATCAAGTTCAGTGAATTAATAAATGCCAATAGCTTCATCATTAATAACAATCATCTAATTTATCGCATTATCCAAATACTCTATATCTAAATAGTTTTAAACCTTCAAAATTTAATCTTTGATACCTATTATTTATTACTATTAGCTCAGAGCTTCTATAAAATTTTTCACTGATAGAAGATATATAATATGATTTTCATGAATAGGAATTTGAGAATTAGGATCATACTCGTACTGAGGCAATAGTTGAGATTCAAGCATACTTATTATATATTGAGCAGAGATAGCACTGTGAGTCATTAAGATTCCAAGTGCTTTAGTCATTTAATTAATCTTACCCTCATAAAATTCCTGAATCTCATTTGAGGTCGTAGGTCTAAATACTATTTAGTAGTAATCTCTGTTTATTGACTCAAAATTCTTAGATTCAAAGAACATGAATGTCTCAAAGCTTTATAAATGGTAGGTATATAACCAAGTCAATACCTGTTATGGACAAACAAGACTTTAAATATATTCATTGAACTTAAGCTACAATTGCTCAGTTTTCTAAAATAAAATTTAATCATAGATAACTTACAGAGAAATATGATAGTAGACCTTATAAATTCATAAAGAGAGCTTTGACTAGCATTGGTGATTTCTCCATTACAATTGACTGGAGAGTTAGCTAGAATATTATCATAACCTCATCATCATCAAAGGTTAAGTATCTCAAACTTTTATGGATAATTTGGTAAAATGAGTATCTCACATTGACTATCTTATGAAAATTGAATGGACATAGTATGTTTAAATCTAACGCAAAATCTATTGTCTCTAACTATGGAACAGTGTCCATTATATAATTGATGAGTTAGAAGACAGAGATGCTTGAACTTTCTATTTCATCGCTTTGCTTAAGATTTTATTAAAGATTTAATATGAGTTAGCTTAACTGTTTTTCATAGCCTGGCTACTATATGTATTAATCTAGCATTGACTAAATTAACTCAGTTACCAAAATCATGACTTCTTCTTCAACCTTAAGTAGGCTTTCAATTAGTACTCTGTTGAACATTTGAAATATTTAAACGCTATTTGTTTTTGTTAACCCTTTTAGTAGTAAAAAGAAATTATATCTCGATGGCCATGTATCAACTTCAACTGCTTTAAGAATTACAGGTAGTTGCTGAATTAAAATGCTGATTTCATTTTGAATTTTATCCCCTTTAATCTATAAAAGCATTAATAATAACTCAATACCCTCCTCTCTAGCAGGGGTAAGTACTTTTAATTCTTCGAAATCATTAAATTAATCCTTCATTAGAAAAATTAAAAGCAGTGGAAGTATCATTAAGCCTAGACTTTCAGGCTATATTTTTACTTGAGTCACAATTTGGTAGCCTTCTTCTTAATTAGTAATCTAAGCAATGTAGTAACTAAGCTCTATTTTTGAAGAAATGCAAGACTTTAAAATATTCTTAAGAATCGAGGCAGCCGATTAACGAATTTTCCAATCTTAGTTGACTAAGTTCTAAATAAATTCTAATGCCAGTGCTAGTTATGGAGACATCAAGATAAACCTGTGTGAAGGGTTTTTTACATTATCAGTTTTCAATCTTTTCGTCATTAGAGATCTAAGATCTATTATTGACTGGTATGAATTTCTCTTTAGATTCTCTATAAGTATTGACACAGGATTTTTATCAGCGTTTTTATCCTTTTTAGCACTCTAGCAATTATTCTAATCTTCTATATCATCAAAGAAGCTTTCATCAATCAAATCACTTAGCTTAATTTTATCAGTCTTAAAGCCCCCAATGCTTTCCATGACCATTTATTTAATTTCATCTTTCCCTTCTTTCTTAATGTCGGATTGATTGAATGTTAGATCTGAGAGTAAGGGTTGATAATTAGATATCAAGTCCTTAAAGAATTCTCTATTATTCTTAAGTATATCACTTAATTAGATATAGTTTAATTTTAGGTTACTTATTTCTTCAATCTCGATTTCATTGTCAAATTTTAATGTTAATATACTCTCATTAAGTCTCTAAATGTATTTGCTTCTTTTTTAATCATCAGTGATTGAGTTTATACGATCCAATAATCCCTATAAAACCTTTTGCTCATTTGAAACATTAGCTAATTATTCTAAAGGTTTCCCAGAGTCTCCAATGACACATCTCAATAAACCACTCTCATTGATCTTCAATCTTGTAAAGTCAGAATTAGATCGCGGGAGATCATTTGTAATAAAATCAAGAATTCTAAGCAGTTTCCAGGGTCTCTGCTAAATCTCTAGTTTCAAGTTATCTGTAACCAATTATACAAATGCTTCATTTTGAGCATTGTTTTTCAGAAGTTATAGGAACTTTTTAGTCCTATTTTACATAGATTGATCCATAAATGTAGGTAAGTTTTGTCTGATTTCATATTAAATTGCAGGCTTTAAATAGACCTTTTGTAAATAACCTAAAATTATTAATTCAATACTTTGATTTGATTGGTTCTTTTTTAATATCCTCGCTTCAAATGAAATTACGTAAGCTGTGGGGTTTTGGGGTTTTGGGG